TTTATTATGTCATGAATATTCATGGTGAGAAAGCGGGTTGTCTATGGTAAGTAGTTTTGGCAGTCTACCACGATTCCCTGTGGCCCTTCCTGTTAAATTATTTATCGTTTTCCAGAGAATAGTCGGGTTGTTTTTATTTAGATTAATTAAATTGGAGTAATATTTGTTTAGATTTTCTATTATTATACTTATGCTACAGTAAGCTTCCAAAGCTGAACATCCTTATGGTTGGGGGGGGGGGTCAGGTGGGCTGATGTGGAATATCATTTGTTACTTATCTGTAAAAACGTCTACATACTGTAACATATCTCTTGCTCCACCAATGCCGAGAAGTAATAGTCTCTCAACATATCATTGTTATTGTAATTCGGTAGATCTTTCCATGTGTAAATCTTCTCTCGTGGTATTACATCCGATAGATTATCGATTATGGCCTGCATTAAAACAATAAAATATCATTTATGATGCCTGCCCAGCAACTGCAATCAACAACATCAAATATAGTCACACAACTAAATTTAGTGACTGACTGACTAACTGAATTTATGAATAGTATATATGTAATTAATATTTTGCTAATTGACTAGCTAATAAATAAATAAATAAATAAATAAATAAATAAATAAATAAATAAATAAATAAATAAATAAATAAATAAATAAATTCCACCACATAATCAATCAATCAATCAATCAATCATTCAATCAAACAATCAATCAGTCAATCAATCAATCAGTCAATCAATCAATCAATTTACTATACCATTGACCATTGGGGACAAGCAACATAGAGACACTCCAGTTTCTCCTTCTTCATCAGGTTAACTACTGCTTTAGTCACGTTGGGCGTGACTTTCGATAATTCTGATTGTATATTTGCACATTGGTCCATACGATGATGAAAGTAACACCTTGATTAATCAATACATAAATGATACGTTACAGTTTGTGAAAGGAAAAATATAAATCGCTGTTTTCCCATGTCATTAAACAATCATGTGGAGAATTACGAAAGTGTATAAAAGTATATATACTATTTGATTCCATTGTACCTAATTATGATTGATAAGCTGTATTTCAATACTGATATACCACATTTTACGAAAGTTCTATTAGAAGCACTACTGCAAACTGTCTGTCTTACTAAAATGAATACGTTAAAAGGTTAAATAAACATGTTCTGACTAAGTTTTGATTTAAATTCAAAGTCAATTAATGCTGCCACGGACTTTGCATACCATTCATGTATCTCAATGTACGAATAAATATGAACTGAACCCCTCAAATGAAATTAGTTGTTTTAAAATAAAAACGTTTTGTTGAGTATTATTTTTAGATTTAAATTTACTGAACCTTATTTTTGTGCGTGCTCGGTTTTTATTGGTAGAAACAGTCTTATCAAATTATATTATCAAATATAAATGTTTCTGTTAACAAAACAACTTGTGGACAACATTTTCACATCAGTTCGAGGGCTAGTACTGATAGTATAGTGAGCGAGTGACATTTTTTGCAACATGTTGTGTCACTGTCAATTAAGTACGTACTTAGCATATAGCGTTTGTCAAGATTGCGAGGTTTTACTAAGAATAGAACTGGCATAATCATAGAACACGGCACAGCGCGTGAAATCAATTTTTTTCTATAATTTGTTGTAAATCCGAAGAACGTTTATTGCTTAAACTAAGCCCCAGGGAATTCATTGCAACGGCACAACAATAATTAAGTTTGCTGTTTGTTTGTATAAAAACAACGTCTTCAACGACGAATTGATTGCACGACACGCTTAGCGCAGTACTTGAAACAAGAGATTCAAAGTCGTCGGCAACACTTTTGAACACGCAGTGTAAAGACTTTTACGCATGTCTGAACATTCTAATACTTTTGCTACCATATGTTAAGCAATGCTAACATTGTAAGCATTTTTTTTCCATAAAACATGTACACTTACGGCATTTCAGCCGACTTGTTACGCCAATGCATTGCTAAGCAAGGTTTGCCAACACAAAAACCAGTCAAAAGAGTGTCAGTGATATTTCTTATAACAGCAGACCTTTTCAGATGAGTTCTAACCTCTGTGAGTAACTCTTCCAAGTTACGTATTTGTAGTTGTGCTGTCCGGGACTGATACACACCGAGACACGGCGCGTGTTTGACTATGTCTTCTAATCTGCTAATGTTAACTGAGTCGACGTTAATAATTTCTTCTAATTTTGGAAGTTTCATTTCTAATTTTGAAGTAAATGTATCTCGATTTGATAATTCGTATCCAGTGGTGTCCCACGCCACTATTTTCATTTGGCTTGTGTTACATTGTTTCTTGAATTCATCAATGGTAGAAACTGGTAATAGTTCGTTCAATATTTCCACATCAAATGTGTCATTGAATTGTCTCATGTGTTCAGTGCTGTATCCACGAACATGTCCTCCATGAAGAAAAAACGGTGTCATCACCAGTGTACGATTTGACAATAGAGCCATAACTATCACTTTCTCCGTACCTGTATACTGACTGTTTTGTCCTCCAATACCATGTCGTTGAATGTTCAACACAAAATGCGTTAAATTATTGTCCTGTACAGTATGATTCTGGGTCCGATAGCCGGCAGTTACGTTTGAATTTGTGGAACTGTTGTCTTGGGACGGTGCAGCTGTAGATGGTTCAAAAACTATAGCTTTTATGATTTTAGTTGTCTTGTTAACATCATACTTTAGTGTCGTAGTCATTGGCGTATGAGTTAAATCCACATTAGCTTTTCTATACTCTTCTCCATGCTGAAATAAACAATATGAAAAGATACATTTAATGTGCGCCATTTGATATATAATACATTTTATTCAGGTGTGAGTAGAATAGTCAAAGCGATAAATCTCGTGTTTCAAAATCACAATATGTTACACTTAGATATTGAGATTTTTACGCAGAGGCATAATTGAAAATGAAAGCGGGAGGTAAATATGTGTGACGTTTCACGGCCAATCAAACAACCTATAGAAAATGACAATGAATCAATCTTGTGTGGTTTATGTAGCCCAATTTTCTGACAAGTCACTGACTGAATGATTGAATTAAAAAAAATCAGATTATTAATAAATGTATGTTTATGGTAATTTCAATATCCATATTCTCAACCAGAGTATACGTATACGTATGATTTCAGTGCCCAATATTAGATTATTGGTTCGTAATGTCTCGGCGTTATCGACATTGCCGATAACAATATTTACTTGAGATGTTTACGTTGAGACATTCCGAAAAGGGTTAACCTGGCGTATATGGGTTTTACGAAAAACTCGGCGCTGTCTGAGACTGCAAGTTTGATCTATGTACTATGGTATTTTTCAGTCCAATATTGACTACCGATGCATGCTTTGGGAACGTTAAACCAATCATGCAATTCGATCACAGAATTGCCTATTTTCTGGTCTTTCTAACTTATAAATATTCTTTAAGATGCAATTAAAGAAACACATTTTCACCTAATGTCAAATGAATGATAGGAACCTTGAGTAATTGTTTATTTCCTAAACCTATTATTGAGCTGACACCTGCGGAGTGATACTGAAACGGCCAATACAGTCATGACAATGATCTACTTATATATATTCAGAATTTGGGCGGGAAGATTATCAGTTACATTGTTATAATTGGTCAAATAACATGCGTTTTGATTGGCTACTTTTTACATATTTGATTGGTTACAGAAATGACATTTATGATTGGACGAGAGGCCGAAGTACATCGTCTGTAATTGGTTTTATAGAGGAGACATGTGATTGGGAGAGGTTGAAGGTCGAATCCGAAATTGTCATCAAGCTCGGTGATTTTGAATTCCAACAATACCATAAAAATATCGAGCGTAAGATCCTAAAAGAATTATCTCTTTCATATTGAAGTGGATAGATATAATTCTCATTCACACTGAAATAACACACTTCACATTTGAATGTGTGCAAATGCACTGGTTTTATTAACCGTTTCGTGGCTGTAGCTTGCACTCCCAATCATTAGATTAATATTTATTACTAAGTTTTTTTTTCTTTATATGCAGCGCTATAGTACCTGTTGCACTACTTGCCTAACTTGACGGTTATAAAATTGGAAGGGGAATTGAATACGCCCATATGATATATATGTGATCTGTAACATGCGCATGGTCAACTGCAGATAATACATAGCGGTGAAAAGGGCACCACTCTGTTACAGTATGAATGGCTCCAAATGATAAATAACACTGGCAAAGGACACGTCTGTATTATACATTCGTGTGATCAACAATTGAAAACAACACAATAATAACAGTCACTATAAACTACATTGGTCGATGTCATGGAATTCTTTGCCAAACATCACGACATCAACATTGATAAATATAAAATCACCATATTGGATTATTGGGCCGTAAGCTGGTACGTTTAGTCCGTAAATTGAATTCTGCTCATCGTCTCACCAAATCTCACATCGCTATTTGCCTCCGTGTTTATACATATTCATGCATTCAATCTGTTGTACTGGGAATGTTGTCGATTCGTGCAATGACCCAAATACAACAATTGAGGTCTGGCAAAATGCATTTATTGAAATTGGAAAACCTTGCTTTCTGTTGTTTTTTTTAGGAAAATATCAGGGCGTTTTTACCGACACTTCACTTCTGATGCCTACCATGACACAATATGTGAAGGGTTAGCCCGGCGTATTAATATTTAAAGCAAAACTCGGCGCTGTTTGAGTGTACACGTAAAAGTGGTTTTGTACTATGGTATTTTTCAGTCCAGTATTGACTACCGTTGCATGGCTTTGAGAAATACGACCAAGACAAACTTATCAAAAATATATTTTATCAACATTAATATATATTAAACCACCATTATATATTATTTATATTTTTGCTTACAAAACATCAAAATGATCCTAAAATTATCATAATTAAAATACCCACTCAATTAATATTTTTGACGGTGATTAGTAAATATTAGTAACTATAGTGTATATAGGTATACATCTTCTGAAACGTTGAAGTATATGGGGAGATATTGCGTAACATAAATTGGCGGGTTGGTTGTGAATCGCAAAGTACAAATATGTAACATACTTATATTATGTGCATTTAATATACACTGTGTAAAGTCCAATATATTGCATAATGCATCTATAGTAACATTATTACCCTATTTAATCTAGTCATGGGTTTATCTCCATGCATTCAGAATATGTATTATTGTTTGAATTGCAACTGGCGGTTTGTTTAGGCCATGGAACAGCGATGTACTATTCTGCTAGAATATCTGGTATGTACATATATCCTACCTGTGCGTTACCGTGGTGTTTCCCGTACTCATTCATTAATATCAATGGAGATATGCGTGTCAATAATCCATTCACATGGCGTTCTGAAATCATCAGTACGGCAATCGATATTACTGAGAATAACAAGAGCAGTGGCTTCCGATGTTTCCAACACCAACCCATTTCAGTAAATATATACCGTATTCGAATTGCATTATGGGAAACAAGCGTATATGTCAATAATATGTTCGAGATTATATGCGCTCGTGGATCGGAATAAACATTCATTGCATGCACATTACAAGCAATTATTATGGGGCATATTTTTGGATTGTACATTTTTCTCTAATTTTCCGGTTCGACGTTTGAAATACAAACGGTTTCCCCCATTTCAATAGTGATCGTGTTATTGATGCTATATTTGGAATGGCAATCACATCCACTGAAATGTGTTTATGTTTGGGATATGCCCAGTACATTGAACACAATGCAAACACACTAGTCAAAACATTGACAACAGCCGTTAGTAATCTACAGAATAATATAAACAGCTGATGTTATTATTTTATGGACTGTATTATTAGTGCAATAATTCAGTGGTTCGTGTATGCCATTGACGTAAGCACAATGCATGCTGGGTGAGTCATTAAACACGCGATATACAGTTAATCAAGCAGAACAGAACGTGAGTGTTTATAAGTAGTCGCTTAGGATGAAACTACCGCACTATTGGCGATCCGAATTGAGATCACTGTTATGCTCATATGGCAACACCACTGTGATAACAAATGTAATCAAAATATCAACAATTCTATAAAATATCATAGCGCTTATTTAAAAAGTACAAATACAAAAACCATGACAGCTACTGACATCATCAATTTAGTTGATAACATGATAAATATACTCAGACGGCGGAGCTGTTTCGAGCGTATTTTATTAGGGTTGATTTTATGACGGTAATATATATAGATATGGATTACAAAAATATATGATTGATAAGCCTTAGTATAAAATCGAAATGGTCAATGCCTGTCACATTGTACACTCGTATAACATCGACAGACAATAACAATTGCATTAAAATATATCAATGTGGTGTACCTATATGTCTATATAGAATATTTGAATCTTTTATGTTTTATTTCTTAATACACTCACCGGATATCCCATACTGAATGCACCAGTTTGGATCTATGATATAAAAAAGGCATTGAATACAATGCAAATGCCAAAGTGAGCCATAAACAATATAAATAATACCATAAACAATTTTGTTGAAACGACTACGTGAACATTTGAACCATTTAACAAGGATTAGAATGAGATCGTCCAGAATTTGAAGTATAGTAACTAAGCATGGCACGGAGAATCTGTGTTTCTGCAATGGTGGATTTTGTACGGGAATCAGTTTAAAATGTACACAATCAAAGGTCTTTTTTATTTTCAAGTAATTACTGGCAGTCTTGTATATTCCTGATTCATCCCCAATGGCAATTGATTGGTCACAGCTCAAAAATTCTAAAATGTCAATATTAGATTATTTACGGGATGATTATCGTCGTTTAATATTGTATATATATAAAGTATGTTTGTTATGCTTTGACTGGTAGCATATGCAGTATTGGTATTGTCTTCTAACAAACATGTTCAATTAGAGACACAACTAGCACGATAAACAATAGGGTCATAATAATATTCCCAATAACCATCGGTTCCATTTCTGTGACTTTCAACATATACAATTATACTGTCTATGGCACAGTCTACCAAAAGCAAATACAACCCGACAAGTAACGCGATAAAATAAACACACGAATGAGTGTTCATGCGACAAACCTGATATAATCAATATCACTGTATATAATTACACAGCGACCTGCTGCCTCGATAACAGGTCAGCTTGTCGATTTTATCAACATTGGTTTCAACGTCACTTCAATGGTTCTCACAGATGTATAGCAAAAACACAGAAACAGTTGCAACCCTGTCTCATCGATATTTGGAGCTTCCCATCATTGATTGACTTTGCACATTCATTAATTCTTCTGTTCATTTTCATAGTCATAGCTTGACTTAGGCTGTCTCCTTCCTCTTCACACAGGAAGCACTCTGCCTTCTTTGTGACTCAGATCCTCCGTGGAATTTTACTGCTATTGCTGGTCTCCAGACTGTCAGCTGCTGGGGCCGATCGTTTCTCAGCTCTTTGTAACTTTGTGTTGTTGAACAGTAGCCTACAACTCTCATGATACCGAGCAGCATTTTTCTCAAAGTTTCGGATATCCCACTGCCATCATCAAGTCTTGCTGGATCAAGCTTGATTGGTAACTCGTTGAGTTGCAGAAATCTAGGAATATTCCTACCCAAGAGGCTATAGCCATCATCTAACCTTTTGGTAGGATTTGCACGTGGAGAGGTAAGTACTTCTTTCGTGTTAGATATATAGCAAAAACACAGAAACTATTGCAACCCTGTCTCATCGATATTTGGACTCTCGAAAAGCGTCTGAAGTTTGGAATTAATTAGTGTTCACAGCGAATAGTTGATATCAATGATATTCACCGCCATAATACGTCACATTAAATGGTAGGAATTGCGGTACCTCTGAGCAGTACACCTGCTAATCCTTGTATGAAAGACGAAATTTACTTGACTTGCTCTGCGTTAGGCTAAATATTGTTCAGACTGGTGATGTGAATCGAATAAAGTATGTGGATTACTATGAAAGGCGCTTGTCATCTTACTATATTGGACACGAATTACTATTAATTACGTTGATACAATATATGATCTGACATTTGTCTTAATAGTTCACGTCATGTATGTCGATCAACTTGCTTGAAATCGATATATATATATGTCTTGAGTAGCTCCGTTATTAATTCGTAGTTGTCGTCCACGGGGACTTCGAACATAGTACCCTTTGCTCTCATGTAAGAGTTAATCGTTTCTTATCATCATAAATTTATCTATTAATAAAATAACACTGTCAATATCTGATGTGAGTGCAAATTCTAGTAGTTATACATATTTAATTTCGTTCTTGTTGGAAATTGGCGTTTATCGAGTGCATACATAAAGTGTACAGTTGACAATAACAACATTAAACTTACAATCATATTTATGTTAATTTTGTTAAGGTTTTATTTTCGTCCACTCATATACTAATCGTTCATTCTCAAAAAAGATCGTTTAAAAGGTTAACTTAGATTTGTCGTTTATGACTGAAAATTCTGAAACACAAGAAAATAAAATGAATGACATTGGTTTTACAATCGTGAATATTTCTAGTATATTATTAAAACATCAGAGTTATCCACATTTGGTGAGAAGTTTTCATAAGAAAATGTGTATATAGCAAAATATGGTAACTGATTGATAGGTTTACTTTCTCTATGATACATTGCACATATCGGTGAGGTAATAAACATTCACTCAAATAATTTAGTATTTAGTGATTATGTCTATGCAGGATTTGTAATTCAAATTTTTACAAAGCTGGTGTAATAGGTGTAATCTAAATTTTCTATACATTCGGCCATTGGGGATGTAAAACAAACGTAATTTACCTTTTTGAGGAAAAAATCGTCGTAAATATATAAATACACAAGAAGTATGTATTTATCGAATTTCTATGTATATGAGCAAATTATTGAGCAAACTACCATGTACGTTCCATTGCACGTGCCAATTTCTAAGATGGGGTTAGTGTTAGTCACCAAATCAGATAAGTATCCTAATAACTTCCATAACTGCTAAAAGACAATACAGTATTGTTGCAATCTAAGTTTATTTTAAGCAAATAACACCGAATACACGGCAAGGTAAGTTTATTTTAAGTTTATTTTAACTGTTTTTTTGTATTTCTGTCGTTAACATGTTGAGACCACAAGTACACAAGTAAACAAAAATACAATTAATTACGACTAATGTTTAAAGAGTATGATATAAGAAGAGTCTGAAGAAATTTAATTATATTTGAAAGTAAAGGAACTATTTTAACGTGGTATAAATATGTTTAGCTTTATTGAAGAAAGAGGATACAGACAAAATATAATTGAAAATGACAAATTATGAAGAAATTGATTAAAAACATACAACTAATGAATAATCTTATTTAATGTATAAGATTACAGCACTAGTACGGGACTTAAGGGTTTAGTACAGATATACCATCTGCATGACATAAAAGTGCATATATTAGTCAATGTAATGTCATACCCATCAAGCCTTGCGCAGCCCCTATTGCTATTGTTGTACTTGTTTACGTTGATCTACTCATCGCGTGAAGTGCTTAGAATGATGTGGGATCTGGAAATTATTTATGTTGCTATTCCCACTAATTGTGGATATTCTAGCGATACTTTATTCACGCCGTGTAACTCAATTTAACGAGGGCGTTTTCAAATTTCTGGATGACTATGACAAACTCGATGTTCAACCACAGGTAAAATATACATCTGAACAGTAAAACACATCATTGATATTAAAAACATACATGTTTCTTCGTAGAAGTGAAACAAAATTGTCGGTCCTATTAGTTTAAGCAGTTGCTGTATTTTCAGTTGATTAGTCGAATCATATGTAGTATAGCCAGGGTACAGATGTGACTTAAACAAAACTACTTAAGTGTCGTTGTAATTAAACTTGACAATCATACTGAAAGATAAGTATTGATCCATGTATACACGATTTTATTACCAGTGTAATATCGATAACATTTACATTTAAGTGATATACATGATTATATTTACCATCTATACCAGAGCGTCTATGCTGAAGATTCCACTCATCTGTTTCGTCTACTGAAATATTTTATTAATAACAATTGTCTGCCTGAGAATGTCATAATTTATAATCTTTATTTTCATTCCTTGATGAGTTATGTACAAAGCACGTTTGGTAGTCATTAACACAATTCTATAGTGCATTTAGTAGGTATATTGCTTGCACTTTATTCATTCAACCCTATATGTATTACCAGTGTAAAACCTATCCTCCTAGTATAAACAACAGCATAAGGATGGTTTTGTTTTACTCACTCACTCATGTAATTCATGTATCTTATATTTTAAAATTACTTAGTGTACTTGTGAATGACAAACATTGGTGATGCTCCCAGTCGTATATATCATTAGTAAATCAAGGAATAGAAATCCCCAAATACAATTTCCTGCGAATAG